CACACGCCCCTGCAAGTAAGTCCCTTGGCCTCCAGTCCCGGCTTCTGAGACTTGACTGCACCGTTCCTCCACCTGACCTCAGCCGCACATATCTGGTGAAAATAGGAACATTATCTCCACTTTTCTGAGGCCAGGTAAGAGGAACAGAAGGATGTCAGGGCCTTTTCGATCACTTCTGATGCCTATGCTCCAAATGAATTTTTCACTGGCCCCCATTTTGGGGCCAGTATAACAACGGGTGGACTCTGCCCTGGGGAGCTATGTCTCATGATGGCTCCTCTCGGCTCCTGAAGCCTGAGAGACTGACACGCATTAACGTGGACGTGCGTGGCTCCCAGTCACTGAGCCCTGCTCTGCTTTGCAGACGTGACCCCCACACTTCTCCCCCCAAATGTACTGCAAAAGTATTGTTGTTCCTATTTCTCCAAGGGGGAAACTGAGGCCTTAGAGGTTCAGTAGCTCATCCAAGCTCCTCCCTTCATCTGGCTCGGCTGCAGTTCACAGAGCCTCCCAGAATTGCTCTGAGGCGTGAGTCGTGGCTAGAGATTGACAGACGGGGGCGGCCTTTCATTGGAGAACACATGGTAGACCCGCCTGTTGCTGCTACTCCCTCATGTGGACTTTACAGAAGCAGAACTCCAACCCAAGGAGATCGATCGGTTCAGTGTCTCCGGACGACGTCTCAGCTCCCCAGAAGCACGGGACCTCCGTGGGAGGTTGGAACCAGCCCCGGCTCCCTTATCATACCTGCCAATCATAATCCCGGTCTTCCCGGGCCTGATGTGTGCACAAGGGCTAACCTGGAGGTGGTCCATGCTCGTTACGTTTCTAGTTAGTTCCAACAAGCCTTGTTTCCACTCGGGGCTGGGTGCTTTGGAAGGCAAGCCCGTGTAACTTTGAATTACACTCACATTTGCTGGGCGCTGTTACTGGAGAATTTCACCCCGCCTACCTCCAGCCCACGCTGCCTGGCTTTCTGCTTCAAACCACCTGGTACAGGAAATGCCTCTGCAGTTTGCATCCACAGCTAAGAACAGAGCTGGCAGGACTCCGAGTGGAAATAAAAGGAGCTGACTCAGTGCCAGGATTAGAAGTAGGTTGACTGTGGGTCAAGTATTCCAGCGGAATCCGAAAGGGAGAGAGACACAAGGAACGCGCTTCTGCACAGCGCCACACAGGAGGGCCTGTGGACAGGGCCAGCCTCTCGCATCGGCCGCCAACCAGCTCTAAAGAGCAGCTGTGCCCGCTCCCCCACCCCTCACCAGGAATGCCCCCTCCTCGCTCTCTATGTTTTTTCCACAGTGCTTGGAAGTCTAGGGACCCTGTGTAAATAACCACAGGGAGAAAGGGGCCTGGAATGGAAATGGACATTCGTCACGTGACCTCACATTCCGGGCCNTTGCGATGTATTTCTTTTTCTCAGTCAAGAATAACCTTTGTACGAAGGTGTCCACATGCGTGATGGCAGAGGCCGTTCCCAAGTGTTTCTCATGTAAGATGTTTGGATGGTGTGCGGTGCTGGCGGTGACATGCCTGGTGTGGGGTCTTGGCTTGCTTACATGCCTCAGTGTGTTCCGGGTAGATCAGTGGGAATGAGTCGTGCATGAAGCCATGAATAAACAGCAAGGCCATTGATTGCTTATGTAGAATTGATGTTGAGGACTGATTGCCAAAAAGAAAAACTATAGAATGAAACCAATTGTAAAGCTATCAAAGATAAAGAGTCACAGGACTGGAGGCAGGACAGAAACATGTCAGGGTGCCAGGGGTGTGTCTTTGGTCTCCTTAGCTCCCACCTGCCACTTTGGCAGAAAAGGCTAAAACATGCCAGAGAATTTAGCCACAAATTGCACTTTACTGCTTAGGGAAGTTTCTAGGTCACAGGGTTGGGTTTTGCAAAGAGCAGAGGGGACTTGGTACCACTCTCCTCGTCTTCATACTGGAGATAAAAACCATGGCCTTGCTTTGGCCCATGTGCACTGACCTCACAGTCCGAGGGGCGAACAAGAATATAAGTTTTCACCTCAGGGGCTTCCCAGGGAAGGAGTTTTTTTCAATTAGACCCAAAACAACCACTAGGGAAAACATAGAGATAGTAATAGTCTCATAAACAACTTTTGTAAAAAGGGAAAAATGTAAACTGATACAAAAACCTCTCCAACTATTTTATGAATTAATTACTAGAAAAGAACCTTGATTTTTATATATATTCTATACAACCTGGGGGGAAAGTCCCCGTCCACATAGTCAGGGTTTTACCTCTATTCCGTCATGGTACCTCATTGGGAAAGAAAGTTAGTGCTACTGAAAACACAAGGAAAAAAAATGTGACAACCCCCACCCCCATCTCCATCCCCAAATCATCTAAAAGCAAGTCTACTTGGGAAATTCAGACAAAACTCTTTTCACAGGGAAATGTGCTCATAGCCCGGTAATAGTAATATTCAGAAGATCTGAGACAAGTTGAAGGTCAGCATCCCTTTGAAGTTTCTTCTGACTTGTTTTTAAGGCAAAAATGGCACTTTCCACCAGAACAATGGCTTTGACTTTTATTCATGGCTTCCTCATGAAACTGAATCATGTCCCTCTAACTGGATTTCTCTGCTTCATGGCAGAGACGACAATGGAAAATTATTCCAAAGATAAAGTCTTGCTAGCTTACCTAAAATTTGACTCTATCTTATGAATTCCTAGAATAAATCTCCTCTTTAATTATAGTTCCTGTTAAGTCAACTTGATGGTGTCTGGTGTCTATAGTGGGGGACATCTAGTCCGAGGGACGACAAGGTGCTTTTGGACTTGGTGATGGGACTTTTTCCTTCATCGTTACTCTTTACACCAACCTTGAGGTGGCCTTTGAGCTGTGGGTCAGACTAGGGGCCATTGGAAAGAGGACAATGAATTAGAGATGACTTCCTTGGTTTGTAGACAAAGGACCTGCCTTTCACTTCAGGGGGTTATTCTTTCACTGTTTTCCTCCATGTCGTGATTGGAGGAGGTCGCCTTAGAAAGAAAGGGTAGCAGAGCCCATGCATGACAATGATGCCCCTACCCCATTGCTCAGAGGTCACCCGAGGATGAACCTAACCTGGGTTGTGCCTCTGCCCT